TAATTTCAATGGAATAAAAAGTTCCACTTTGGCTAGTGTTATTATGATGCTGGGAAATTTTCCATTTTATAGACTTCCTCTCATTACAATAATAGCAGTAATTCGTGTTTCAATACTAATTGCCAACTTTAATCAAACATTATTTGACTCCTACCACAACTTCTGATGGCTGGGGAACCGTGTGCTGTTTGACTTGAAGTCGTGTTCGAGTCTGTCGCAGGCGGTACAAGTGAATTGCCTCCCAAACGAGTGGCATGAATAAAGTCACCGCAGCAGAGACGATTAGTGCAAACAGCACCGCATAAATCTAATGGGTAATGGAAAGAATAGCTGAATGATCGCCGCAACCGCTGGATCCCAATAGTGCAATAAATCGTCGACCACGCATTTTGGACCCAATTTTGAAATCAAGTTCGGCTATCCTTAATGTTCATCAAAACCGAGCCTTCCACACTTCATGATTCTGCTATGCTACTACTAGTCGTGTGAATATACAATTATATAAATTTTAAGTAAATCTTATAGCACTACAGAGCCAGCCTCATTACGATGGTAGCGCACAGTTTGCCATTTTAAGTGAATTCCATCTGCTTTTTGGTCAAATGTTTTTTATTAGTACATAGAAATAATCTCATTTATAAATATGGGACTCGAATTCTAGCATAAGGTAGATTAATTGACTATATAAGCCTTAAAAAGGTGCATCTTTTAAAAATTTGTCTTTGCGCAGAAACAGATCACCTTGAATGGGCTCTCAAAATCTTTCAAAATTGCACCTTTGGTGCTTGTTTTAGGCCATAGTTAAAGCTAAGGCACATCAGCTTTGTTCCACTCAAGCATTCTGGTGCGTAAGGGACTGCGGTGACAACCGTGAAACATCAGGACAAATGGCAAGAGGAAAACTTTATTACCTACCCAAATTGTGAAAGAGGTTATGTCAAGAAAATTGAAGATGTAGAAGACGCCAGGAATAATGAGGCCACCCATTGTGAGGAAGGAAAGGACAGCAACGAGGGTGAAGTGCCAGGAGCGTCGGTAGACTCTTCGCACCTCCTCTGGGTCAGGTCGGTCATAACTTTCCATGTTGAAATTATTGAATTTAAATGACCTATATAAATCACGGTAAAATGGTGGCATAAGTCTGTAAAACAACAACCTTCTTTAGACCAAAGGATGTGCAAATGAGAATTGCTGTGCAATCACAATCCATTATGTAAATAATTTTTGCTTCTTATATGGTCTGTCGCGAGAGAAGAGCCATCCTTCGACTTATGAATGACGCTTTGATCTGCATAAGCCCTCTGCAATAAGTTTAGTAACTGTCCTTCTTGACTCTTCCATCGACTGTTTAGAATTAATAGTTTGGATATTTAAACTTTTTGTAGTTAGCCGTTTGCTTTTTGGCACTGTAAGTGGTTCAATTAAAGTAATTGGCCTATCAAATAACTTCTCAAAGAGTATGGAAAGTCTCTCCAGTGTGTCTACTCGAAGATGTTTAAATGCAAATTCCTGGCTGCAGTGAAGGAAAATGGTGCAGACGGGAGATAGCATTGTAGATGAAGCGGCCCTAACTTCGCTGCATTTCTGAACCTAAGACTACGAAATACCTTGCTGAACAGCGAGCTATATCTTTTTTACGTCCACTTCTTGCCACGAGACATTGACTCACCAAATTAACCGTATTCTTAACTTTACACATATCACAGTAGTATAGCACTTTTGTTATATGCAAAGGCCATAAACAAATGTAGAGTACTGAAATCCAAAAGGACGCAGGGCACCACTAATCCTTAATCCACTGCCGCGGCAGAGAACACTCACCTTGCATACTCAAGGGCCCAAGGCGACAATGGGTTGTCCATCTCGTAGATACGCTGCCACGACTGACACCTCAGTTTTTCGTTTTCTTTATTGTTAAAAGTCTTACGATGTCTTTCAAAGCAGACCGCCAAAGGCGGAAAAATGAACCCTCCCATGATAGAGACCGAAAAGGATGCTATGTCCAGAATGTCGGGGTCTACAACACATGCGCATGTGGCACTACATATCGCATTTAATTCGATTGGACCCGCTGAGCGCCGTAGCTACTGTAGTGAAATTTTCTTTGTTTATGAAGATTTATAATTTACTTTTGAAGACAACATTTTGATTCTCAATCCTGTGATCCTATCTTTGCATTCCATCCAATCGCTTGCTAAAACTTTGCAGCCTCAGACGGTTTTAATTGGTGCTACTTTTAGCTTTATGAAATATTTTTAAATTAGAGAAAATTTATAGGATATTACAACGAATAAGATATGCATTAATAGGCCAGATGTCGTTAGATTGGTGACAAAGTCTCTTCATTCCATTAAAGTTTCCATTCACGTTTCGTTCATGCAAATACCAGCTAACTGAATACGGTACAAAACCTTGAAACTAATTTCCTTATTAAAAATCTATCCAAGAAAAAGAGGAAAGCTGTCTAGCATTGCATCTTTTACATTCGCTCCTTTAAAACTGTCTTGTGGGGTGATCGTGATACTCTTAACTTGAGGCCTTTAAATCTAAAAGAGCATACTTTGTGATCTAACCATCTTCCTCCCTCATTTCAGCCACAATAATACAATCGAAGGAAATCCTTACCAATACTGAGATTGGGATACAATCTGATGAGAAAGTTCATCAGAACCCACACAAACGCAGCCATGGAGGTACTCAAAGCTGTCCCCACCACCACCCCCGCCGAGGTCATTTGTTCCCAAAAGAAGGCATACAAAAGGCTTCCCAGCGTGGCCGCCACCAGTACATTTATTCCAACAATCAATGTCGAACAGTAGCCCTAAGCCATCACAAAATTTTCTTTCACCCTAATACTAAGACATATAATGCTTAAAAATTGGGAGGAGAGATTATTCGCGCAACAAAATTAAGTGAGTGTAGTTTGATTGTTTGGCAACACTGATAGCAAAATAGTCTCGTTTGGGGATAAAGAGAAGAAACACAATCGCCTGAAAGGCATACATCGTTTTTTGTTCAAATTTTTTGGTACAAAAGTATTTATGCTTATGAGCAACAATTTGCAGATAACGTGGCTAAAATGAACCCTGAGTGTTGCCTTAAAGTGTTAGTTCGTAAGCATTGACGACACTACTTATGTCATTTTAACTCACACTAAGTAGGTTGAAAAGCAAACCGATGGGAAGGACAACAGAGAAGATCACCAAGATGGATGTACGTCGTACGGTCTCCAAGTTTTTCTCGTAGTTTAGGTACTGGGCGTGTATTTTGCATTCGCAACGCGACACAACCGTATTCTTGGCTAGGCATCGACTCCTTTAATGTATCAAATGGAGTGCTTACAAGTACACTGAAAGCGCCCGTGCAATGTGGAGAATCATTAAAAGGAACTATGGATAAACACATGTGAAAGAAAAAGTCTAACTCACATTTTATAGGTCTGACATTGCCTGCAACACGTCACAGGCATACATATGCACTTTTCTTTCGGCCGGAATACAAGATCGCGTGTTTTTCCACACAACATGCAGCAATTGATATCAAAGCATACCCGAAACGGCTGAATCATGGAAGATGGTTTGTTTTTTAATACAACATTTATTGACTACTTTCCACTTCTGGTGTCTAACACTATCTTCCGAACGAAACGTTATCGGTCCCTCTGTAACTTCTATAGGATTATATACGGTACCACAAATGAAAACTTGAAAGCTCACCTTCATGTGAATGGCATAGATGTCGAATGTTAGGAT